ACAGTATGGGCAAGTTCGAAACAACTGCCATGGGGGGCGCCTACAAACAATAACGAATCACTTGCAGATGTTGATGTCAACACAATCTCTAATGTCCACCCCTGAATAATAAACCCCCCCTCCCCCTTGATCAAGTGCGGGCCCTAAAAAATGCAAAATCCAGAAAACTACCGGATAAATCTTGATTTGAACTTGAAATAAAGGGATCATGAAAGGAAATGAAAGGACAGAAAAGGAAATTAACGAAAATAGCAGGAAAGGAAAGGACATGAAAGGAAAGGAAGCAGCTGAAAGTCAGGGTCCATAAAAGTTTTGTATTATTGAGGGCCATTTGTGATGCGTTTTGAACAACATAGTATCATTCACGGGCCACTTATAAATCATCTGTCAACATTAAACCTTCGAAAGTTCACATTTTTTTCCACCAATCTGCTCAGCCGTGATGTCGGATGTCCCGAAATCACTGAAACTGTGGCTCCGCAGGCCTTTGGATTGGCGGCTCTAAGTTCCGTCCCTGGGCTTTACGCGCGCGTCGCCTTGCGTCGTGTGTCGCGCGTCGCGTTGCGGAGGCGGTCGTTGCAGACTACGGCCGTAACATGAAGAACAAAGAAGCCGGGTACCACGGAGATCACTTAGATCACTGGTGGTATCAATGGTATCAGTAGCATTCCCTGGTTGAGTGGAAAGTGTGAAACATCATGTATATACCTCATTTTCCTTTTCAGATGATTCAGCACAGAACATCTTGGACCTTCTGGAGCATGTGCATCAATGTTTTAAGGACTCTTCTCATATGACGACACGGCCAAACTGAGGCATTGTCAAAGACACTGGGGATACGGGGGCATGTGCTTTAGGCATGTTATATATATAGTTATATATATATATGTTATATGCATATATATATATATATACCCTTAACAATTTTCTCTATAACGTCTCGGGGGTTGGGCAGCACAAAAAGATACACATACAACACGGAACTCTTTTTGTGCAGACATGTTTGCTGGTTTGACCATGGAAACCGTGAAGACAGACAGTGCCACTGTGCATTGATTCGATAGTGATTTAATGTGTCATTTTCGCGGTCTCATCATGCCACACGTTTGTTGGCTGGTTTCACGGTTGGGTTGTGGCTTTACAGAGCATCTTGCTGGTCACAACATTGTCATCAGTGTATATCAATTCATTTTGCATTTTGATCAGCACCAGTTGGACCCTTTGTCACACCCAGCCTTGTTCAGCTGGCGGCTTTACTCTCTCTCTATAACATAGAGCAACCGCCATGTATGCTTAGTCGCTAAGAATTGACATTTATATAATTGGATATGATGCGGATGTTTTGCAGGCTGGGGCCTTCGACTCATCAAGAGCATCCAAGAGTTGATTCCCCCCCTTTGCTTAACAAGGTGTTCCACGGCACGTGTGGGCCTTTGATTCTATAGATTTAAGCCTTTCTGAAGTGCGACTACTTGATATTTGTTATAGTAAGTTTTTTGTGTGTTGAGGTCTGCGTTCTTCGCTTCATAGAGTCTTATAGCATGCACGCATGTATGAGAGGTTGTAGGCTACAACATTGAATCTATAAACATGCAATGCACGACGTGCTGCCTTGATCTAGAGAGGGGTTGTACACATCTCTAAATTGCAAAGATATATATGTATACACAATATCACCCAGAAGGTTCAAAATTTGAAAGTAGCTCGGCAATGAGATAAGACTATTTGGTTGATGCCATCTTGATCTTGGTTCTGCTGAAACTCCATTGGCCATCTCTTATTCTTGGGAACCTCCTGTTTGCCTTCAAAAAGCTCACTCTGGGCTTCTTTCCTCGGGGACCAGGAGTCCTTCGCCATGATCGAGAGGATGAACCCTTCACCACCTTGCACCTCGGCCGGACTCGTGCACCGGTGCGACTGCGACTTCGGCGGTCCGGCACCGTGGTGGTTGTATATGACTTGATTCTCTACTTGGCATCAATTCTTACAGTCCAGCAACTGCTTGGATACCACACCACAAATCTTAATGAGTACCTAAGTGCATTGTGTTGTTCCAAAGTGCTGGTGATTAGACCCCGGCCCTACATGAGTATATATGCTGGGGGAACCCCAGCCCCAACCCTTAACCCTTGGGGCCTTGGCGGCTCAAAACGCCCATGTGACTGACCCACTGAAAACCGGGGCGACACCCTGTGCCCAGAGCTTCGCTTCCAGGCTGGCCATCAGCACCTCCTGGCACTTGGATGGCCTCGGCATGGCACGCCCCAACCTGTCTGGAAAGGGGTATCACTATGTTTGACCCCCACAGTTCAGTGGATTTCATCGATTCGGCAGGTCTTTGTTTGACCCCACAGTTTAGTCCATGAGTTTGATTTGGTTTCTGAGACGGACCCAGGGCCTGACCAATGTTTTCTGCGACCGTCCAAGTGGAGTTTGTAGGGACGACAGATTTGGTGGGTCGTGGACACTCTCCATTGGTATGACGGCGTCTCAAGACAGGCTTGTATATGCTTAGTATATTATTTATCTATAAATAATTATGTATATGTTGGTGTGTTTGTGGATCGCTCATTGTTGATGCACGAAACTGACGCGCGATTCACGAAACTGGTGGAGCGCAAGCATATTGCACAGTGCACAGCTGATAATCTCAAGGTATCTGGAAATTCTCCATGGAAGGCATCAAGTGGCCAAGCTTTGTATTCTTATTATATTTGCAAAAGTGCGAGCGAAACCCAGCGATCAAGGGAGGCCTGTCAACCAAAATGAAGCAGCCAGTGGACAAAACCACTTGGTTTCGGGTTACTGTTGCTGAGAGATACCTATATGTTGTATCAAGCCAACCACAGCTACCTCACCAAGACAGGCCGAGATTGCGACCTTGAGTTGGATAGCTACTGTACCTGACCTTTTATTTGGTTTTCTATATGCTTTGACTCGTGGGACCTGGTAGTGACTCCAACGCAGTGGTGTCGAAGGGGTTAACACCAAAACGCTGGGGTCGCCTGCGGTCTCTTCATCCGGAGGTGGCCATCAGCACTGGCTCCAATGTCTTGCTTTGCCGCTTCGAACGGCCACGGTGCAGCAAAAAGACACCTGAGGGTTTTGAACGCTTTGGGTCATCCTTAGTTTTGCTTGGGATGATGCTTTTAGGAATGAAGGTATCAAGAATAAGCATGGATGTCAACTGAGTCTATTCCACAACGCTTGACATGTGCAGTGCCTCGGCGCATGTGCTGGTCTTTGTACTCCTTATCCCCCTTTCGCGAGCTGGCAGATCACATCATCCATCGAATCCTCACTATCATGCCTTCCCTTTTCAATCACTCTTCGCACGGAATATGAGAAACCCTCCTCATGTGTTGTTTCACCCTGACTGGTCCACCAGCTCGCTCGCCATGTCGCGCTGGACGTGTTTCAGGTGTCTCACCCCATGTCTATGTCCAAGGCCCGGAGAGATGCTCGCTGGGATCCTGGGGCCTTTGCGGAAGGCGGCCGCTGCCTTTGGTGATCTCATGTGTGCTGAGGGCATGTGACGCCGCCATGCGACGCCCGGCACAGAGGTTTTTGGAGCGCCTGGGGAGGGTGGGAGATGCACATGTTGCTTAATGCATCTTAATGCCGCCTGGACAGCCGATCTATATAGTTAATCAACATAGGCATCCCAAAAAGGGCAACGTGTTTAGCACACAGGTACCCATGTACGACTGCCGCATGTGGAGAAACATATGCATTTTAACCCACCCACCGAAGCCCAGGGCTGACGCCAGGGCTATACGTAAGGGAGTATGTAAGGGCTATACGTAGACGAACATGCAACGAAGCAACATGGGGAGCTGAGTCGCCTGGTGGGCTGGGCTGAAGTCTACAGCCCAGGTGGATCCGATTTCTGGTGAAAGAGATGAGAGGTCGTTTGAAAAGGCCTTTCTGAAAACGCACTGAACGATTCTACCAGGTGATGGAGGGGAGATTTTGTTCTGTCATCGGCACTGTATGGGCACTCCAAGTACTTAGTTATTTCAAGACAGACTGTGCAATGCCTGCGTTTGGAGCATAATGGGCCCAATGGGAGTCGCTTGACCCAGATGCATATGTGAACGGTTTGTTGTTTGTCTACGGGTCTCTAGTGGCATTACTTGCGAACGACGCCCAGCAGGCACCCAGAGGGAGAGTCGAGTTTTGTAATGCAAAATTGATGGCCGTAAATGGACTGCCCTCCCCAGGACTGACATGACTTGCACCTGGCAGAGAAAGACAGACAATCTTCCAAACCCTCCTGACAGAGTTTATGTTATTTTATGTTCACTTCGGGAGTGTGGAAGACGCGCTTGTGAGGTGCGTGGATCGCGTGCAGTGTCAGCAGCATCTTTGATAATGACAACAGTGCTCAACGGCAAAGCCATAATATGGAATTTCAGCCGGGCATTGTCCAAGTCACGATGCAACGTGATTTTGACTTCTTGGCCTTTGACTCACATAGTGAGCCAACGGGATGATCCTCATAAATCCATGTTCCACTCCGCCTTGTGCTCCGCAGAAACATTTGCCACTTCACGGTTGTCCACGACTGCGACATCGCACGATCATCCCTTTCACAGAGTGAGACGGCCTCGCTGTAGCGAACTGGGGGCCCACGTTCAGCGGCGTTGCACTGCAGCGCAGCTTGTACAGAGAGCAAGGAGTCCTGGCTTGCCAAATAGACGACTGCGCACGACTGGAGCAGCCACATGGTGCAAGCGACTGTGAGGTGGCGGGACGCAGGGTTTGGCATTCTGTGCAATTTGACCCCTGCATCTCGGGCTGCGAGCCCTTTAGTTCTTTACACGAAAATACCCTGCGCCAAAGAGACCCAAACGACAGGATACCAGTTCAAGGCCAACGGATCTCGTGTGGATTTCATATGATTTCATGGGTGTTCCTGCTTTCTGCTGTAGGTGTTCGCTCGCCTTTGATGTTTGCACACGGGCCGCCGATATCCGAAAACTCAACGAAGCGCACAGGAGCAGGACGAAGCGGCGGATGGAACTCTTGAAGGGCGCGAGCATCGCAGGCACCGCGAGCTGCGCGGTCAGAGTGGATTGGGGCTATGTAGAGGAACACTCACCTCCCGTTGTGCAGACCACTCCACTATGACAGGCCTCTTGCCAGGACTCTAGTCTATAACGTTCAATTGGAGGTTATGTTCTATTTGTGGGGGCGTTGGGATGAGGTTCGTTCACCTCCTGACACGCTCCTAGACACGCGCCAAGTATTTGTGAATGTTTGTGAGACAGTCTAGGAGCGTATCAAATAGACTATCACCCACTTGGATCCGATCCGATCCGATCCGCTGCTAACACCTTGCCGCCTGGCACTTCCCCCAGCTACTTGACTGGGACTCTGTCGACTATGACCAGTGGCCAGTCGGCCTCTTCGCATCACCTTCTTCACTGGTCGGAGACGACAGAGGGTCCACCCCAGCAGCGTGCTAGGCCAACGCCGCGAGGGGCATCAAACACCCGACAGCCCGGTCATGGTGGGGAGCCCCGGAAATTGGAGCTCATTTTGAGGTCTAGGAGTCTAGGAGTTTTCAAAAGACCATTGGCCTTAGATTGTAGACCATTCCTACCAAGTTGCTGATCCCTGTTCACTGCCATGCGTGCTGGAGGGTGTAGCCAGGAGGTCGTTTGGAACATGCTCAGGGTGGCCATGGGTGAGTTTCCACATGAGAGAATGTACTGGGCAGTTGGTTTGTGGGTATAACACACCCCGCATACCTCAAACCCAAAAGAAGTCAACCGCCTGAAGCTTTGGCTCGGGTCTTCTTGAGCCACGCAGCGATACCTATGTTTCCATGGTGACCCATATGCCGCTGGCGGCTGGCGTTGGTCCGAGGGTGCTTTATGGTGCGTTTTGGTGCTTTTTGGTGTCTCCATTTGACAAGACAGTTGATGGCAATTCCCAGAAGGTAGCTACTCAAGTGGAGGGGGAGGGGTTCGGCTTACATTGAAGATGATGCAAGCTCTTGCTGGTCCTTATCCAGTCCATGAGAGAGAGAGAGATTAAGCATATATGAATATCATATATAATAACATACAATAATATAATATCATGTAATTAACTGGCTCTGTGTGACTCGTCGCGCAAGTGACAGTTGAAGAGTCCGGTCGTCGAAACGCAGCACATGAAGCTTCGGGGCCGTGTGGCAGCTCATCGAGACAGTGGTGAGGGCTGAGGGCTGGACCCTGCAACAGCACCCATCAACATGGAAGAGATGCTGGGAAGAGATGCCTGCGTGGTTTATTCTTTTGACATGTTGTTTGCCTTGATGCACGGCAGCTGTGCAGGGAGATCGATGCAATTTTCTTGGGCATGGCTGTCAGTCAGAGCCTCGTACCCCTCTATGAATGCCCTCAAACGAGTGGTCCGTCAGAGCCTCGTGACCCGTCCCCACTCACCTATACTGTTCTCAAGAGTATTCGAGTGCATTTATATCACATCACACCACTGCATCTTACATTAGCCACATCACCCAAACAAGCCTTCAACGCCAAGTCTCATGCCTAACACATCTAGGCCGGATCTATCTCGGGTGGCTCTCCAGCAGATGGCCTCACGGGGATTGACACCCCGGTGGATCACGGCAACCGACTAGGCTTGGAGATGCTGGGAGCAGTGGCAGAGGGAGAATGCACCACGTCAGACAACTGGAACGTATATTACATATTATATACATACTAGTATATAATATAGGATTAACATGGTCGAAACGGTCCATCGATTTGCATCGGTTCGATATACTTCGATTTCGATTTGTTTCGGTTCTGTATATACTGGATTATGTGTTGGTCGATTCTTTCAACACAGCCATTTCTTGATTTTTTGAGGACAGAACTCGTTGTTTGGAATCTTCGAGGTGTCCGCATGCATGTGTTTGTTTTGCAGCAGTTTAGTTTGAAGGAAGACAACACCATAGGAGTCGGTTTAGAAGATGACTTCTTCGAGTGAGCCATAGTGGGGCTCCAAGGTGGATAGATTAGTGTTCTTTTCACACTTGACCTTGGATATCCTTGAACCATATTATTTATCAGGACGACAACTTGATGACTCGTTCGACCTGGCTCAAGCACAGACGTTGGGAGGATTCCATTTGCCAGGGGGCCAGGTGGTCTCTTATGTTTGAGATGTTTGGGGCAAGCTATGTGGGGCTTTCTGTGCTGGCCGCGGTCTTGGGATGAAGAATGGTCAGTGTCGAAAAAGAAGCACCGCTTCAGGTTCTGCAGCAGAGTTGCAGCGCCATGCGGAAGCTCTTCGAGAGAGCCTTGGGATGAAGCTGCGGCCAGGGTTTTGTTTCTCTTCCGACGGCTCCAGCCAATCTCTGGGAGAGGGCGATTGAGGGAGGGAGGGAGGGAGGGAGGGAGGTGGGAGAGAGAGAGAGAGGGAGAGATGTGCAAGAACACCACGTACAGCAGTCCCAATGGGGGAGAGAGAGGGAGAGACAGAGAGAGAGAGAGAGAGACAATGTGACATTCGAGCTGAACATGAGGTCCTTTGAGTTGCAAACACAAACGGTGTGGAGACCTCAGCTTGAACCGTTTCTGGAGTAGTGAGTAGTGATCCTGGACACATCCAGAGGAGCTCCAAACAACAAGCACAACAGGTGAATCCTTGAGGGAGCTTAACATACAAAGCAACAACAGGACCAGAGCTATAACAGGATACCACGGCCCTAGCAACAGCTCATAGACCACCCACGTTTGACGGCACCTATGCAACATTCGAGGAGTGGAATACATGGAAATAAACGTGCATACACGGGGTCATCTATGCACAACTCTGCGAAGAACGACCGGAAGCAGCAACACACCTCACAGACTCACGCAAGCAGTGACAGAACAGGAAGACAAAGGATGGCAACCATTAGCAACAGATTTGAAGTACATACTGTACCATTACATACCAATCAACACCACTTGAGCAGCAGCAACAACAGCATGCAGACAACACCAACACGAAGCCCAGGAACGTCAGCATGGGCTACCTCACTAAACGTCTCAAGCCAAAGTTCAATGACGACGATCAACAACAGCAGCAACAAACAACAAACAATAACACCAACAGCAGCAACAAACAACAAACAATAACACCAACAGCAGCAACAGCAACAGCAACAACAGCAACAGCATTAGTGTGGGGGTGGCATGTATGTTGGACTTCCCCTTGTGTGGCTGCAGCAGGAAAGGGCCATGTAGCACGGAATGGGGATCGTGGGCCTTTTGCAAGACCCTTGTGACGATTTTTTTGTTACTAGTAGCGATGCCAGGAGCCCCTAGTGGCTTCTTGTTACTAGTAGTAAAGCCAGGAGCCCCTAGTAGCGTTTTTTTGGAGGGGTGGGCGTGGCAAGCACAGAGCTTGAGGTTTGGGGGCCCCTTGGTTTGGGCTTCATGTTATCGGACTCGTCGGAGAAAAGAGCCGGTGAATGTCAGCTTGAGCAGCCCTGCCCTTGTTCGGGAAACAGAGCTTGTACCCATCAAGGACTATGAATGCAGTTGCTCTTTATCACACCAAGACAGGTGTGATTACGATGATCAAACCTGGTTTTAGATGCTTTTTGTTTTTTTTTGGGGGGGGGATTTGTTTAGATAAAGAAGCTACTAGGAACAAGTGCATCGCTACTAGTAACAAGTGCCTTACTAGTAGTAACAAGAAGCTATTAGAAACAAGAATGTTTGAATTGGATTTGCCTTCTTCAAGTCGGACGGTACCCAACCCAGTGAGCCGTGTTTTCAGCCGACCGACCGCTGCACCAAGGGAACTGCACCACATGGCAGAGGCACAAGAACTACCACCGCTTGAGGAGAGCAGCCTTTATCAGAACTGTCAGATTCCCAGTTGTCTCCTGCAGACCTTGGGCTAAAGATTTTTGATTCAGGTCACTTTTGCGTGCAAGGGCCATGTGTTCCACTTCCACGTGTTTAAATTGAGGTTAGTCTCCATTTGCTGCTTTTTTGGGCGGACCTCGTTTTAAAACTGTGTCGAGCTTTGGGCAGGTTTGGGTGCACAGTATTCATTACATTTGGTACACTGTCCATTTTGGCTCAAGCCAAAAGTGGGACAGTGGAGTTTCTGTTCTGCTTCAATTTTTGCTGTGTTTGCTGTGGATGGCTTCACAGCATATTGTCGCTGTGCATGTCGCCATGTTCACGGATGCTGAGGTGCTTTCGTCCGCCGCGTTCCTCGAGTTCCGTCGCCAGGTTGATGCCCTTTTGGCCCGGGGGGACCGGGCAGGCGCGCTGCGGCTTTGGACCTCGGTGGTTCTATTTGAACACATGCCTCCGTCTTCACGCCCGGGGGACGGGCCAGCTGGTTTTCCCCCTATGCGGATTTCCGTTTGTCCCAAGAGTGTATGCCCACGGTGCGATCAGGGGCGAGGGGGCTTTGTCTTCCCGTGGGTCGGGATTTGGAACCGGCGCGGGACGATCGTGCCACCAGGGTTCACTCCTCAGCAGGCGATGGGGCCCCGAGGGGGAGGACGGGACGGACTCCCCCTTAGGGGACATTGATGCTCCCCGTCCCTTGGTTGCCGACCTGTTTTGTGGGCCCAACCTGCCGCTATCCAAGGCCTTCCTTTGGTGCGGGTGGCGCACCCTGTCGGTGGACTGGCTGTTAGACAAGTCCCATGACCTTTCCAATCCGCTACGTCAGCAGTCACTCCATGACCAGCTCTCCGAAGTTGACTTCATTTGTGCAGCCTTCGACTGCTCCACCAAGAGCCGAGCCAGGCAGATCCCGCGGCGGTTTGAAGACGGCCGCCCGTGTCCGGCACCCTTGCGCTCCGAGCAACATCCTGATGGATTGCCAACACTCCAGGGGCGCGACCTTCAGCGAGTCCGCACAGACAACCAAGCCTGTGAGTTTATCCTCGAGGAGATTCGGCTGCTTGCCGACCGGGGCGGAGGGTCGGTACGAGAGAACCCATGGCGCAGCCTACATTGGTGGGGGTCCACCGAGTGCTCTATGATGGAGACCGGCTGCTGGAAGGACAAGCGCTATGATGCGTGCTGCCTTGGAGGTGCTCGCTGTAAGGCACAGTGCTTACGCCACAACATCGACGAGATCGATCAGTGGCCGCCGCTGACCTGCCACCATTCTCATGCACCTCACGAGTGGACTCCCTATCTGCAGGGAGGCCAGACGATCTACCCATCCAAGGAGGAAGCCGAGTATACGGCCGTCTTGGCCTTTGCTATTGCAGTTGCAGCATCGTGGTGGGCCGGGCGCGTGGGTCGCGCTAAGTTGAATGTTCCACGTCTGCCGCAATTCGAATGTGTCGGAGCCCGCGAAGATTGGCTGGACCTGGACCCCCGAGCCCTACGGGAGTGGGCGATGGCACCCCTCGCCCTTGGGCTAGGCTTGTATCCACCAGATCCGAGTGAAGCCCCCGCCGGGCTCAGGTGGATGACGTCCTTATCGAGAAAGGCAAGTTGCCACCACACCATGTCTACGTGGGCCAGGGCCGCGGTTCTCATCGTCTTGCGAAGACCAAGTGGGCCTCCCCGGTTATCCCAGGTCTGAACAGTCAATCCAATGATTGGTTGTGGCACTACGTCGCCCATATCTATGAGTCTGGTCTGGTGAACGACCTACACGAACTTCAGGGTAAAGTGCTTGTCTGCGACTGTCCCTTCTGCGACCCTTGCGAGGCAGATGTGCTTGCTGGCCTCTGTTTTGAGAAGAGCCAGCCGAGAGGTCGTCAGACGATGCATCGCTTCAGTCGGGGGGGGACCCCACCGGCCCGCCAGGTCATTGCGGCGGGGTTGATCCGCACAGTACGAGGCCTCCCAACGAGTCCTACACGTCGGTGGAGCCAAGAAGCCCTGATCTTAGCATTTCGCAAGCACTTCTTCACGAACTTCCAGTTCCCTATGGTCGAGGATATTATCAATGCTGCCCCGTTCAATGCATTTCCTGTTTGGCTGCACAACAGGCATTATGAGACAGATGGGCCCTTGGGCCCTCATTTGGCCGACGCTCAAGTCCGCCAGACTCTCCGTACTGCTGAAGGCCAACAAGTGGGTGCACTGAACCAGCGTGCAGCGCTTCCGCCGCTGCAATCCTATGACCTCAGCCCGGATGAGCACTTCGCCCAAGCGCTGAAGCGAGGCCGAGATCTGCTACCCACCGAGTTACCAGCAGTGCTGGACCTGGACCTAGCCTTCGCCGCTGACTACCATACTCGTTACCGAGGCCGTCTACGAGATCTTCGCCGTACAGCAGTGGGGGCACTGCGGGAACTCCATCGGCGTTGGTGTGCCGTAGGGCGACATCTGCGGCAATTTCAACCCATCGCCTTGCAGGCTACCACGGCCACTCGGGACCTCGGTTTCGTAGCACTATTGATTCTGCTGACTTCATGGCCCGATGTCACATACCCATTCGGGCTTATTGACGGCCTCCCAGCGGTGGGCTACGCGCCGTGCTACGGAGTCTTTCCGTCTCAACCTGCTGACCGCATTACTCTTACGGAGGTACTGTCGGGATGCGATGCGCACAATTACCAGATCTTGTCCACCCTCAAGCCAGGCAAAGATGATCAGTTCCTGCTTGAACAGTCTACGAAGGATGCAGCACGGGGGTTCTGTACCCCCCCATTGACGCTGGCACAGTTGCGTCAGCAGCTGCCCGGACAGCCGTAGCGTCTAATCCCACGCTGTGTGATTACCCAATCCTCGGGTAAGCAGCGTATTATCGACAATGCCGATGCCGGAGGACAGACCCTGCGGTCATCCGACGCCAATAAGCTTGTGCTCTGCTCGCCCCTCAGGCCGGCCCAACACATCAGCCAAGTTCTACGTCACATGAGCCCGCTAGAGCTAGCCCAAGCGGCGGCTACTGACACCTGCATGGGAATCAGGTGGGGAAGATCGGCCGGATGCCTATCGGCACAGTCCTATGGGGGTCAACGAAACGCGGGGATGCGTAGTTACCTTCTGGCATCACGAATGGGCTGCTCCAGCCTTCCAAGTCTATGCTGGTCTTCTTTTTGGTCTTCCTCTTGCCGTGACCTCGTTTAACCGATACAGTCGCCTTGTGGAAGCCCTCGGGCGTCGTTTGTGCTACTATCGCTCTACTTCGACGATGCTTCAATCCAAGACTGGTCTTCGAGCCGGGGATCGGCTCAATGGGCTTTTGGTGTCTTAAACTAGTTCCTGGGCCCTTGTTTGCGGAAGAGAAGCGCCAGGCTATGAACCCCAAAAGGCTTATTTTTAGGCCTGGACCATGATCTTTCAGCCGCCCTTTCAGGAGGCTACGTCTCTTTTTGGGCGAGGGAACGCCTGGAATCCAAGTTGAAGGCCATTATCCATGAATGCCGTGAGACGCACACTCTCAAGCCTGGTGTTGCTGCCAAGCTGTACGGACTGGCCAACTTCTTCGAACAGGGCGTCTACGGACGGATTGGATGTGGGGGCCTCCACGCCATTAAGGAGCGCCAACTCGTCCGAGGTGATCAGAAAGAGACCGACTCGCAGAGTGACGGAAAAAGGAAAAGACCAGAGTGGTTCGAAAAATGTGGCCACTCGACTAGTGAAACCCTGGTCGTGGTGCCATCTATCCGCGTGTCCATCACGGGAAATCGCGTCACTCCAATTACTCTTGGAGGGGATCCACTCAAAGTAAATCCAGCATCGAAGCGAAAACAAAAGGATATGGATCATGTGACTCATATGTTCGAGGTCAGGACTGTCTGATCTGCCTTTGATGAGCGCCATCAAAGCGGCAGTGTTGTCAATGTACCATATGCCGCAGCGATTACGGAATCGCTCAGGTGTGGTAGTCAACGCAATGAGAACCTGCAATAACTCCAGCTGTGCTATTTTGGCATCCCCTGGCGTCCAAAGGTCATAGATGGATGAGGGGAGGTGAGACACAAACCCAAGCCGGAGCTCCACGTCCTCGTGGAAGAAGACAAGGAGAAAACCACCCGTGCCTTCACCTGGGGTCTCCAAGGCAGCGTCGGACGCTGCAACAAAGCGTTCATGGTGTCGTGGCCAGACATCAAGTTCACGCTCTGGATGGATGGAGATCACGGCCTCAAGAATTTGGAAGCAATGCATTGTTCAATTGCGGGAGTCAGCTTGGGAGAAATGCATTGGGTAGATACATCGCTATGGATACGTCTTGGTGGACGGGTCTCCATAGATGGGTATCTAAGCTTCATCCAGGAATGGATGTGTGGCTATGAACACTGCTCACACTTTGTGAGTTTCCAACACAACAACGTCAGGGCGACGTGCAGAGACCACAACTGCAGAGAGTATAGCGAAAAAGGGGGAGAGAGTACACAGAGCGCAGTCTAGGAAGTACTCTGAATAGTAGTGATGTACACATGTAATGATATATGACTCAGATCATCGAATCCAAACCATACTGTACTTCGAGTGATCCCCACCATGGCATTATACCCTGCTGATAGCCCACAGCTACATTGCTTCAACATCACCAAGAAGGTGTCTATCTTGCATATATACTGGCATGTGTCATGGCATTCTATTGGGCATATATGTAATAATATTGCATTCTACCTAGCATGCATTCTGGCTTTTCATGTGACATATATTCACACAGTCAATTTCGCATATTTTCTGGCTGTCTATTTTGGCATTCTATTTGGCGGATGCTGGCTCTCTATTGGCGTGTGTTCTTGCAGTCTACTTTGCAAATGTTTGGCCTTACATAAATCTGGCAGATGCTGGCATTCTATTTGTGGTATATTCTGGCATTCTATTGGGCACACATTCTGTCACATTTATATATATATATATATATGTTCTGGCTACCTGGCATATTTTTTGGCACTCGGTCTGGCACATATTCTGGCAGTCTATCTGAAATTATTTTGGCACATGTTCTGGCATTCTATTTGGCATAATTGCTGACTTTTTGACGTTCAGTTTCCATGTGGTTCAAGCCTGGTGGTGTCCACTGCAATCTGGGACTAGTGGTTGGGGTCCGGTGGTGCCCAGCCCGATCGAGCGCGCACGGTCGACGTCCGCTGGTGCCCCTTGTGATGTATCGCACTCGCTGTCGAGGAGGCTGCCGGGGGAGCGGGACATCTGATATACTGTAAAATCCAACAACTCTCACCCGGCAGGTGGGGGACAAAGTGTGGCTCTCATGCACCGGGAATTAAGCAAGCTGATCTTCCAAAAAGGGTGTCGTGAGATCTCATGAGTGATGGGGGGCAAGCACCAAAGTGTTGGTTCAAGGGCTGGTAGGGGAGATCAGCACAGTCCTTTAACGGCAGCCCTTTGCACTTTCTGAGCAGGTAGGGCGGGACCCTCCAGACCACTCATCCAGCCACTTCACAGGCACTTGGATCCCTTTTGGGCCCTAGGGTGAAGATAAGACACCGTTGCTTTTGTGACGCTGCCAGTGGATACCGTGACAAGTTGTTGTGCAGGAGCCGGCCTCAAGCAGTAGCGCGCCGCATGGGTTCCTGGTGCCGTGAGGGATGGATCGTCCAATGCATTCAATTGAAAGTTAAAAACATCTTGTGCAACCACAGGGCAAAAGGTTTTTGCAACTACAGTGTTGTTTGATGGTTTTTTGTGACGTTTTCCCGCAAACTGGCTTTGTTGGAGGTTCCTCCAGGCTTACCAGAAACTACAGCGTTACAACGTATTTTTGTTGTGGTTTGTGTACCGGCTGGTATTTATTGGGAAAGTGTGTCACGGCCGTGTGTTTTCGGCGGGCAGGGATCCCTCAACGAGCTCCAATTGTCAAGTGAAGCGCAATAACAAATTAAGGCTCAGAAGCTTTGCCCTGTTGATTTGCCTTTGCTACTAGAGGTCGGACCGCCACGATGAAGTCTCTAGAATCAACGCTGCGTGCAATTCGGGCAGCAAACCAGTGGCCATTGGTATGGATACCCCAAAGGTGATAGACTTTGGAGATCGTGTTTCAGACCAAAAAGTAGAACCGAACTCGAAAAATCGTGTTGGTTTTACCCACTGCCCTTCCAGTCTCCTGAACCCGAGGTCACCCCGAGGTCATATGGGGGCGTCAAATTTTGCGGGCACGGGATAGTATAGGACCATGCCGACCTGACAGCAGGTTGAAAGATTTCTCTCGGAATGCATAGGAGGACAGAGGAGGGAGCGCATGGTAGGGTAAAGTAGGCCGTGGCAGTTGGTCAGGATGTTATTGATTATTTTATGATGTTTTGCTTTATATATCATATATATAAATTATAGATTTGTGATGTTCGGCAAGGACCTTCGGATAGCAACAGATTATCCATGTCATGGATTTGGATAATTAGCGTGGTTTTGTCCAGGTGCTACGCCTGTTTTATACTCGGCGCGTTGGATGTTCATCGTCGTTGATTACTACTCGCTGGTGGTTGTTAAGGCCACCGGAGCAGGACAAGAAGACTCAGGTGCCCAGATTCGTGACAAAGGGTTTGTGAATGTGTGCATGCACGTGTTCTTTTTCATCAGGTTGTAAGACGAGTAGAGCAAAACCCCTCATGCTGGCGGCCAGCGCTTCTGCAACAACAATAAGGACTAGATTGCCAAATGTATCGTAGTTTGAGGCCTTTGGTCATGCAAGTTGATACATGTTGTATACACAAATATAGCTAGGTGTTTGAGGGGTCCACAACGCTCCCCAGGCTCCAAACCGACTCTCCTGCGGCAAGGGGAGCACTGAAACGCAAGCCCAGATCTCCTTGGGCACGGTGGGGCACCCTGTGTGTGGGAGCCTGGATTTGACCAAATGAAAACGGATGTTTTTGGCAGGCGTCTATTTTCACCTGCATCCTCGGTCAATCGAGGTTCTTCCCCAACAGAAAAACTCAGTAGGCTTTGACCCACACTTCCGGGATTTGGGCATAGGTATCAAGAAAAGATATAAAAAATAGTTACCGAATCAACAAAATAAATATTTACTGAATCAATAAAGAATATTCGTTGTGCGATGAAATCCATTGGAATTCCCAGTCGTGTAGGTGGCCGGTCCTCTGGTCCGCTGGTCCCCTGGTCCGCTGGTCCTCTGGTCCGCTGGTCCCCTGCAGTCCGCTGGTCCACTGGTCCTCTGGTCCTTCGTGGATTCGATATTTGTTTTATGTGTTTTTCGTTGTCACATCCATTTCTTTCGTTGCCTAGCGGCTGCTGGACTCCTGTGCAAACCTCCGCCCGCGTTCTAAAAAGTACGCCCCGCACTTCGTTTGCGAAAGTATGTTCCGTACGCAACATACACTACATGCATGGCAGACCCCCAAACTAACCGCTAAGCTAAGCTGTCCTAACCTAACTCTGACCTAACCTAGACGAAGGGAGCAACACACAAGACATGCATTGCAGACCCCCAAACTAACCGCTAAGCTGTCCTAACTGACTCTGACCTGACCTAGACGAAGGGAGTGCAACATAAACCTTAAAGCCAATCGAAACGACCCTAACCTACTCTGGACCCTCACCTCTACTTCACTCATTGCTGTTGCCACTGCTATCACTACCACTACTACCACCACTACTATTCCGACTCCTACTTCTTTCTACGCCTACTCCTACAAGTACTACCACAACCACAGCCAGAACCACAACAACAACAAAAACAACAACACCCTACTACTACTACTACTACTTCTTCTCCTACTACTACTTCTACTTCTACTACTACTACTACTACTCCTACTCCTACTACTGCTGCTGCTGCTGCGACTGCGACTGCGACTACGACTACGACTACCACTACTACCACTACTACTACCGCGACTGCGGCTACGACCACCACTACGATACTGCTGCTATTATAGTACTGTTGCTACTCTTACTGCTACTGCTAATTGGAATATTTTTGAGTCAATAGTTTTTTTTTATTGATGTGTGTAGAATCTCTTTAAATTGATACGTTAAATATTGTTTTTGATCTCTCACCCCGGGATTTGCTTTCTATCAAGGCTTTCAGAAAAATGCATTGCTTAGACAGGGGAATGATTCAAGCACTTCAGACAAGGTCCACCGGATCAGTTGGTCAAATTGCATTACTGGTTTGGGGGAAGCAGCCCCCATGCCCACCGCAACTTGTCAATTTTTTACTTTTGCATGTCGATCTGCTCGCGGACGATCGCAGATAGCTGGAGAAAAGCAGTGACCAATTCTTACAGAATTGAACCAAAATGCATTTTCCACTGCCCTTGCGTTGTTCATTCTAGGCAGGGTCTTAAGGTGCTTTCTTGTGCACCAATTGTTGCAGCATGTTTTTGGGTTGGACCCAGCTCATGAGTTGTTCCAGGTCACCCTGGGGAACTGTGACGCGGGGGCCCGGACTTCCTGAGAAGTGTGCTCAGGTCTTGTGGCCAAGCCTGCCGGTATGTGAAGCGCAAAGGGGGCTGCCGTGAGGGGCACCTTGGCACTTGAAGTTTGCATGTAGTTCCATCCTTGGCATTGGGTCCAAGAAGCAAAAAAATCATAAGATAAATACGGATGATAGATTACAAAGGATGAGCAGTTACTATACGTACGCTTGCGATCCTGACGGTAGACTCCTGCAGGACAAATGTTATTTGCGGACCAGTGGTTTGGGGGGCTGTATCATTTTTTGGGTTGCGTATCCAGCAATATGCAACATTTGCTTGGTAAAACTTTGCCCCGGGCCAGCATGGAACATTTGGAGCCTAGAGTGTGCATTCGGCAGCGCCCCACTGTTGGTGGAAGACATCCTGCACCACCTGAAACCATCAGTGGAGACTCAGTGGAGACCATAAATACTGAGCTTGTCCCCATCCCAGGTGCTGCAGGTTTGATTCCTTCAGCTGGTTGCCTCAAGTATCGCCATACGGTTGCCTCAAGTACAGTCATATTGAGGTAGATTAGATTCATGTTTGTGCTTACGCATTGAACACCGAACCACCGTTTTGATATTGCTTTAACTTCGTTGTTGCACACCCACTTCACTTGTCATCAACTGCACAGCACCACGCTGACATCAATCCTTCCACAACAACATCATCCCGTGCACAACATTGCCATTGTTTTACAACATTGCCATTGAAGAGACATGTGATTTATTTTTTTGGGTGGGGTTTGGGTTGTGGTGGGGTAGTGCTGGAGGGGCATGTCGTCATAACATGGCGGTGGGTCAAAACCGGGGTACCCTGGTTGACGATTCCGGACGGGATGTTTTGACCCGCCACATGTTTGAGACTGGGACAGCTCTTGAGAGGAGACACTGGGGTAACTCAAACTGGGACCAAGCATGGCAGGAATTCTTGGGAGGGCAACGCGCACAGAAAACGAGGGCCTAGAGAGATTCTGGCCTTTGTCAATGCAATTTGTATGGATGTTTGTGAAGATTTGCACTAGGAAAGGTGTGTGGTAGGCAGCCGCATGATGAACATCATGATACCAAACTATGTGATGCTTGCTTTTTGCTATTCCTCCAGGGCATGGATTGATGAAGCTACAGCCATGCTCCAACAGTGTCCAACAATCATGGAAGTGGAGAACGGATTGCGGGAGGGGAGCGCAACAAGCAGACAAATACATATTCCTCTACCAAGAGCTTCGTCGCACTTCCATATGTGTCGGACGGGGTGTGTTTTGCCACCTTGGTGCCCAGGGCTGCTTGTCTTTGCTGTCACCTTTGCTTCTGGGTACGCCACAAGGACCTGGCTGTAAGGCCCATGGAGGCATAGATTTCATTGTATGTGGTGTGGGGCCCACATGAAAGCCCGCAATTCTTTGGAATTGTTTAGTCTGCCCAGGTGGCTTGTTGCTGTGTGATCTCTAGCTCATTCGGAGAGTTTTGAACAAGAACGTACAGCATTAGGGCATGATTGCAGCGTTTCTTTTGTTTTGGACTTCTTGGAGGTCTCAAATGTAGCGCTGACATATGTGATGTGTTCTTTCGCGAAACGACCTTCCCACTGGATGCCAAAACATTAATCTGGGAGGTGGGAAGGTCCTGAAGAAGACAGCACGTTAGTTGCATACAGGAGCCACCTTCCAGCTGCATGTTTTCTTGGTTTGGTTTTCAGTTTTTGTTTGTTATGTACACATGGCGTCCACATCGAGTTCTTTGTTGCGTGCGACATTTTCTTTGCTTGGGTGCAAGTTCCAACTCATGAAGCCATCCCGCAGAGGATGAACAGCCGCCAGCGAGGCGTAATCAGGCATTGGGTGGGAAGTTGTAGCTGTTGCCTCGTGGGTTCGCGATTACTTGGAATTGTGGTTTCGCTCCTGTTGGTGGCAGGACTGTGTTTGGGGAATTCTGACGGGTGCATCGCAACACGTCCCAATATGCACACAGCCCGCCCCATATATGCGATATGTATGCATACATATATATGTATATGTATAAGAGAGAGAGAATTGTACTGCCCCATTTATGCGATATGATTGCATACATATATATGTATATGTATAAGAGAGAGAATTGTACTGCATATATATATATATATTCTTACGTGCATACAGAGAGAGAGAGAGAGAGAAAAAACAATATTATACTACATGATATACATACAATTCAACTACAATAAACATGTTGATTTATCTATTTTTTCCATAGAGCAGTTTAGCAGTCCTTAGATTGCACCCAAAAAACGGTGGAATCCCAGAATTCGACAAAGTTAAGGCAGCATTTTACATCTCAGTCTCAGTCAGTAGCAGAATGGATATGATCCCAGGTTCAGGTACCCTAAACCTGAAAGAGGTCAATGGACCGCTTTTCAATTCCATAAGTTTCTCCGTTGCGACTCGGCCACGTGGAGGCTAACCAAAGGAGACCGTGACCTGTCTGAAGGGATTTGGGCTGATTTGGGTGCTCAAATTGCATCAGCAAGGCACAGCTTTGGAAGCATCGAAAAACTGGGAAAGGATGTTTGAGCCGACTCAAAGGTCTTTGACGTTCGGGAACTTTCTTCATAGGGTCTGATGGGGGTACTGAAGGACATAGATAGGTGTACGATGGTGCATGTTCAAGACGTGCCCTTGCCAGTAGCAGTGCAACCCCGCCTGCAAACTTGTAGTAAACCATTCTGCAAGTTTGCTAGAGCATCCGGATATCCGCGACAGTCAGGAGTTTACTGCATGCCTCCCCCAAAGAATGATGCAACAAGAGAACAATTTTGTTTGGCAACCGTGTTTGCAAAGCCACAGAGCCCCCGAATCAGTCAAAGCTAGGAATCAGTCTAGGAATGAATCTTTTTCTGGTGTCAGAACTGAGTTAGTCGTTCGGTGAAATCACTTAAACGTTTACAGTATCGAAAAAGAGTGTTGGTGTGATCGTTTTCTTTCAGCTTTTGATGTCCCGCGTCATGAAGACATGTTGAAAGACAAACAGGCCTTTGCAAAAGCACGCCGGACCCACCAAACAAGAACTGAACAATCTTGTGAACGACGTCTGTGTGCCAGGTCTTTCGCTCAGCAGGTCTTTCGCTCAGAGCTCTCGCGCGGAGCCGAGGATTTCCTCAATGGGTACTGTGGGTCACCCGGTCTCCTGCGGAGACGCTTGCTCTTTGGCCTGGACCGAAGGCACGGTGCGATGTACAGCGCGGGCGGCAGGTTTCTGCGCGACCGGCGGCTCCGTGCTCATCCCGGGGGAGGACTCAGGCAATCATGAACAGAGATGCTTTGCTATGTGCTAGCTGCTAGTATGTACCGATGATCTATACAATCTAACTGTACTATACATGTAATGATATAGAGGAAGGTGTCCTGTTTCTGCCTGGTGGGGGATGAACTGGGTCACAAGCACAGGTCAAGATGAAGAAACCGAGTGGGATCCACTTCTTTTCAATTGTCCCTTTTGCCGATCCTTGCGTGCTAGACGGCCATGAGCCAAGCAAAATGCTTGCTGACTCTCACTGACTTGCACAACCCGCCCTGTCAGTGGCTATCCATGAACCGTTTGTGCGAGGTTTCCCTACCGAACAAGAAGCAGTGGACAAAGGCTACTGTATGGGCTGAAGAATTGTCGTAAGGAAGCTGCATGCGGCAGATAGTCAGCTAATTCATTCACCACGAGGTTTGTTGTTCCATGTGGTGATCACGGTTCTCATACAGCACCCACTCAGCCAGCTTGGAGTTGCCCCAAATCTGCAAAGCTGACCCCATAGACCCCCTGAGATGGCTCGGAAGAATCCGTGAGAAATGAAAGAGCCAATGGAATCACGCGAAATAATCCAACTTGAGCTGAACACCTTCCTTTCAAGTGTAGAGTGGAGAGGGTCACCATCTCCGATGGGAACCCACGGTGGAGACCGACTGGTGTGATGCTGCCAGGTGGGTGCCCCGCTGGAAGTGCATGTCAGTCAGGGAGCACAGATGGATGGACTTGTTTGAACAGGGCCCGTGACGCCCAAATTCCACACCTGCCTGGCACCCAGACAGACCCTGCGAGTAGCCTCCCTGAGTGTTTCGGAATGCGGGTGGCTGCCGGGCGGCTAGTTGGTTCCGAATGCTTCAAGCGGTGACAGAGATCTTCAAAAGAGATGCCCACTTGCAGTAGCAATGGCGAGGGCGACAAGCAAACCAAACGCTCTTAGTACTTGAGGACTGCTACAGAGCATGTTGGGCGATGTGCCCAGTGATGCCCGCTGCAAAAGACGAAGGCTAACGTGTTCCGAGGAGGTTGTTTGGAGCAAACGGAACAGACAAAGTTTCGCGCGTTCGGTCGCTGAGTTCCCCTGGCTGAAGAGCACAGAGATGCCAGACATGGGAATGGGTCAACACCTGGAGCCCTCGTCCACCATATTGACCCTCCAGGTAGATCAACGAAGGTAGTCTGGTTTTGACCCACCGCCACATGAGTTTCCCTTGCGTGTTGGCCTTCACTTTGACCTCACACCCTGTGTGGGCTTGAATCATGGGAAAAGACCTCGGGCACGACCGTTGGGTGTACACTTTGTGCTGAACACTGCGTGACAGTGTAGCGTGCTTTTAATCAGTTGAGTGGGATTGCGCTCCTTTTATCTCCTTTTCACATTGGTTTATTACCAATGACATGGGCCCTGATTAGGCTTGAGAGTTCCGGTACAAGAGCAACAGTCACAACTTCGTGCGTGGCGGATTCTGTGCGACACCCGATTCTTCGACGGGTCGCACCATCTCCATCCATCTCCTCTTTACGGAGTCATTGTGTATATATATATGTTGGTTTTCCACCTGGATGTGAACATTGAAATAACTTGAGATAGATGCAAGCCCGGGCCTTGGGAAGGATGACGGATGAACTTAGATGAACTAAAAGGAGTCGATGGTTTTTTTCATTCTACTGATGGGACATGTTTTTGGCACAAACCGTGATTTGGCGACGCGCTGAACCTCAGGAAGTGCCACCGGTGTACTCCTGAGCCCCTGCCAGAGGCGCGCAAGGGATTCGCTCTCGGCCAACACAGTCGGCAAGGGGGGTGTCCTGTTCATGACCAGTCGGCAACGCGTTTGGGCTCCAAGATGCTCCAGTCGTACGTCCTCAGAAGGTCAAGACTGACCCTCCAAATCCACCTCAAACACCTTCTTAGAAGGTACTTGGAGCCCTTGCGTAAACAAGTATATGTAATTATAGTTATTTTGGAGAAGGTCTGGAACCTAACCATCATCCACTGTGCCCCGGGAATGGGATATATTTACTCCAAACATAGCTGCATAGCCCTTGTCAGCACCGTTCGGAATACTCTTTGTCCGAAGGCCCACGATTCGACGGAAGGATGGTAGGACGCTGCTAGGGGCTCCTGGCCTTACTACTAGGAGCAAGGACGCTGCTAGGGGCTCCTGGCCTTACTACTAGGAGCAAG